AAACACGTTGGCAAACTGTTGGCGACAAATAGAACATGGCTCTATTCTCGCCAACTTTTTCACCAACTTTTTCGTGTTGGTGAACTCATATCTGACGCGTGAACGATTGGCAAACATGTGTTGGTAACTGCCAACAAATCACAACACGCGCTCTATTCACGTGATTCATTTGCGTGACACTTCACAAAATAACGAACGCAAGTCAAGATGAATCCGAGACCATATTGGGAAAGCGTACAAAGTTTATATCCTTTTTTGTTTACAAGATCGACGAAATTCCCGCCATTTTTTCAAATTTCGAGCCTAGCACACAGTCAAACCTTACGCATGCTTATTACGTTTTTCCGCTGTGAAGACTCGTGTTATATTGAGCTGGTCCACTGGGTATCCGCCAGGGTCTGGGTTTAAGAGACTAATAGATTATTAAAGAATATGTACATTTTATTGATAAACGTCTTCTCTGTGTTCACGCTTTTCAACCTCGTTCCCAGGGTCTCTCTCCTCTGCCACCCTTATTGTTGGGAGAAATAATTTTTTGTTTTGAAAAACATGCTTAATTCGCTACTCGCCAAACAAATATGCACTCATCCAACAGCACTAAAGAGTTACTTAACACAAAATATTGTTAGGGAAATTTGCATATTTTGATTTACTTTACTGATCCAGTACCCGTCACAAATTAAATTCTGCGGCGCTCAAGTGTGTCATTGAAAATACGAGCGTAAGCTGTTTCTTATCGCGATGTCTTGAGCACTTAAAAGAATGATTTTCTTCTCTTACATTGCTGGTTTCTTGTTTTTTATTGCACAAATAACAACATCTCCCGGTTTTGTGCGTCAGGGACATTTGAAAATCTATGGCTATGTAAGTACTTGATGCTTTCTGTTATTTACATCTTAACTTCTGTTGTACGCGCAGGGGTCTGTTTTCTGTTCCTTGTATTCCTAACTCACTGCGTCGCATATTTTAAATCAAAGTAGCTCATCTCATATTTGTTCTTTTTTGAAGAACTTTGCTTTCCTCGCAAGCTTCTGTGGAAACTCCACCGGACCTGTTGTTCAGTATAATATCTCATATCCGCAGGTATTCATGGCGGTAGTCTTTGTATTTAGAAACTTCGTTTACAACTCTTTCTCCGAGTGGTAAAAGTCGTTGTTTTTGTTTGCACGTAAACAGACCTTCTCTTTGTTCGGCCGCTCACGTTATGAGCTCGCAACATCGGCAGTAACACCGCTTAGTAAAAACCTTCGATTAAAATTTTAAAACTGCACATTAAATGACCCAAATATCATACATCAATTCCGAACTTATTTTACATGTAAAATAGACATGCGCTAGTACGAGCTAAATTAGTCTCAACTGGAAATCATGCTTGGCTTTAAGCAATTTGTTTAGGACAAATATAACGCAATCTGAACTATTTAAACCGACTGACATAATTTTTCGAGATAATGTTTTTCACTTTATCTTATAGGAAATATTTTCCTTGTTATAAAAATTTCTCTGGAGTTGATTTCAAGCTCTAATTTGTCCACATTCTAACGAAACAGTATACCAATGTCCAATATTTACGTTGTGGTTTATCGTTTTTATTATGCCACCGCGGAAAACGAAAATGAGGCTAAGAGAGGGCATTTGTTGATCACCGAATGCTGGATGTTTTACATACCGTATTCATGATATTCATACCTAGATATCAACTAGATATCAACCTAATTTAATTATTCAACGACCGAAGCATTGACGTAGTTTTTATTTAATGTGTTAATCTTTCGTTTTCCTTTTAGGAATTTTGTTGTTACAGTCTGTTCAGTTATTTTGAAGACCAATGGTGGAATACATGGCCACATCCAGAACTGGTTTGTTTCTCACTAAAATAATACTCCATTAAATTATTTTCTATAAAATTCGGACCGCATGAAATACTAATTATGACAGATGATATAATGCGTTAACAAGATATCTTCTCTTGGCGTGGGCGAATAACAGCCGGACTGAAGATTTGAGTCTAATTAATTTGGATTTCTGT